GCCCCAACTCTTTCGTTTGAGAATTCGTGACGGAGTGGTGGTGAAGGGGGCGGTGGTGGTCACTGTCGTCTTCGCAGGAGTTGTCGGTCGTCCACGGCCTTCAGCAATGATGCAAAGCCGTGGTGTTGTGAAAATCATGGTCGTGGCGAGGGCCTCGTGGCTCATGGCTCTCCACACAATGCCCTCGATTCTGTAGACTTGATGTGGGCTGTACTAGTACTCGTATCGTGATCGGAACTATAATATGAATCTGAAGATTTGTCCCAAAGTCTCGGAATCTTCGCGAACTCAATCCTGGTGAAGTGCAGGTGGGCTGGCGGGTCTTCTCTTGGTCATCGTCTTCGGCCGGAACCTGACGATAAAGACTTACGACCTTGAGGTGCAGGCGGGCTGCGACTGCTCGCCAATTTCGCGATTCAGTGAGTGATTGAAGCATTGTGTTGACGACTTCGGACACTTCAGTCGCCGTGTGATCCGGCAGACTCTCAGATGAACAACAACGAGAATACACGCAATGCAACTACAAATAGAAGACCTGCTAGTACGATTAAGACTCAAAGCAATACCACAGAGACGATAATCGTGGGAATGATATTCATCAGCAAATATCAGCAGCATCATAGGTGCAGTGGTCGCTGCAATGCTACAGCAGCCACAAGAGTCGTCGCCGTCATCGTCGTCGTACTATCACCACGCAGATGTCGAATCATGTGACGTTGCCAGAAGAAACCGTGCAATCAACTGAGAACTCCCCTCTTGACTGCTGTGTCACCGCATCACTGCTGCTGCTGCTGCTGCTGCTGCTGCTGCTGCTGCTGCTGGTACGACGACGACGACGACTAAGTGTTACTAGTATCTTGAAACTTGCGGTGTGCAGGTGGGGCTCAAGGATGCATGTAGTATGGGTCAAGATGGCCCTACATGCGTGACTGCTTTGCAACAGCCGGCAAGCCGGCGCCATGGAAGTGAACCTTCAAGCCTGTCGCCCTCCAGCTCCAGCGAAGCCACAGAGCGGAGCTGTTCAGTCGCAAATCGGCAGAGAAAGGCTGGGAGGGATTACGAGCCTACTGGGGACCGGTGCTTTTTGTTGGGGCCTTTGGAGGCTGGGAGCTGTTGCCCAGAGCAGACATGGCAGTAGAAGGCCTCGCAGTGTGAGGACGGTCACCTGGAACATGCAGTGTGGCTGCGCCTATATCCCCGACCTTCTGCCAGAAGAGTCCTTCAGGGACGTCGTGAACGAATACCAGAGTCTTCGGAATCGTCTTGCTGACGAGGGTCCTTGCGTCGCGAGGGGACGGAGGGTCATAGCGATCTCGGAAGGGAGCGGAAGCGGAAGCACCGCCTGGCGGCTCTTTCAGTCCTATTGGCTCCGGCTCCGAATTCAGAGAGAAGCCAGATTGAGGTTTCTACCCCTTCTCCCAAAGGTGTCGGATTGCCCGCTGGAATATCGGGAGTATCGAGAAGGCTCTTCCATGCTCTGGCACAAAGATACGGTTCTCACCGAGCCACCGCAGCTGGAGCTGGTCTACACCTTGGAGAATACCTCTGATTCTGTTACACGCTGGGCAACGAGCCACTTGGATGTGTTGAACCGGAGGGTTCAGGAAGTCTGGACAGCTCCAAACTCTGCGTTGCTTGTACAGGCAGGGTGCAATGCTCGCTTTGCTCTTGGTTCTCCTGATTTCTTATCAAACCAGGCCCACTGGGTCACTAGGACAGAGTTCTTGTGTGCTTAGCCCTGCCCAGGCGGGTGGCCCTGTGCACATGGTACGCGAGCTGAAGACTGGCCACCGCGTGATCCTGAAGGCCGTGCTGCTGCCAAAGCCCATCGGCAGTGGCCCGCTCTATGCTGCACCGACAGCTCGCTGGTTTGAGAACCTTACCAGATGTAACAAAATTCAGGATGGGGTCGAGGCCTGAGATGTCGCCGGCAGAAGAAATGCCCCACCAGTGCATGGTGGAGGAGGCTGAGCGAGCTGCATCACGAAGTTTATTCGAACCTGGCCCGGAGAGTGCAAACGCCTTGCTGCGACTCTCTTGACAACCCTGGACTTCCGTTTCTAGGCCTGGGACACTGGTCATGCGACTCGCAGAAAAGTGACGTCCCTTCCGTGGCATACGCAGAGTTCGTGAAGCCTCTTCCTGACGAACAGTTGCAGGTCATGCGGATCGCGAAGGTCCTGCTCTTCGGCCAGAGCCCAAAACTCTGGGCAGAGGCTTGTCTTCCTTCTTGGAGTTCAGCTCCCAAGCTCCTTCGTCAGGTTTGGCAGCTTTCTGTCTCTGCTGGACTCTCGTCAACTGGCCGCCCATGAGCTTGCTAGACCAGGCAAGCTGCATACTTGCATTCATCTAGCAGCTACTAGCGCCGCGAGCAGTACGACCTGCCCCGGCTCTAGTTTGCGGAGTGTGAGACTCACACTCGTGAAAAATGAATCCCTAGAGTCTCCAGCATGGTTTGCTGTGGAACGACAACGCACATCTCATCGAACCCCTCTGCGGTCCTTCTAGGTGCCCTGGTGCTGGGCGAGGGAGGTCAGCAATGAGACCCTCTTTGGGGATGGAGAATTCCATTGTGCTTGGCCCCTGGCTGCGGGGGATTCTGAACTCTAGCAACCGCGCAGATATCGCCTGATCTCTCCTGGAGCTAGTTGAGCTTGCGCTCTGGACTGCTGTGCCAGTCAATCCTCATATCCGCCTCCTCTGGGGGTGCTGTACCGTTGTAGAGTATTCGCGAAGCCGACTCGATGCCAGAACGAAGGTGCGATGTGACGGGCCGGCCTGCATGGCACGGCCGGGGCCTCGGGTGCCGTCCGGGCGTTACGCCAGCACTAATTTCGACAGTTTACATCACAGGTGGGTACTCGACCCAAGCATACCTCCCAGGTGGTCGCCTCCCCTGCAGAACGAGTCGTACTTAGTAAATCCAAAGCCGAGCTCTCAGCTTTGGTATTCAGGACTCTCTGCACTCCGCAGTTAGCACATTTGCAGAGGTATGTCAAGATTCACACGTGATGTTTCCGTTTGAGTGTACATGCAGGACTGCCTCCTGGAGTTTTGGGCGGGGAACATACAGACGTGCATGCATACCTACATAGCTTTTGTGTATAGCATGACGTGGGAGCGAACATACCAAACACAACAGAAATTGTCTCAAGTGACGCAGCTGTGTGAAGGGGTCGACGTTCTTGGCAGAGGGTTGCCCCTGCGGTCTCCTGAGGAGCGGATGGCTTGCCGGATGGCTTGCCGAACACTCCCCCACATGGGAAGGAACACAGAGAAGCGAACTGGGGGAGCACGCTTTACGCCAGGGGCGTCCGCCCCATGCCGTAAGCAAGCAACCAAGCAAGCAATGCAGAGACAGAGAGACGGCTTTGGGCCCTGCAAGAGAAAGATGGCTTCGACGAGGTACTTCTCTCTTAACACACATACAGACAGATGAACACATCTTCCTGCATGCTCAGACGCGCACATACATGCAGAGTGTGGCTTGAGTTCTTTTCAGCTTTGTTGCAGCGCAAGATTTTAGTGTACAATTCTTAGCAACCCAGGCATTTCATGTGTTCGTCGATGTGCGCAGAGCGTTTGGGCAATTGCTTAATTGCCTTTGTGCAGAAGGAAGCCAAGGCCGGCAAGGCAAAGCCGCTGTCGGAAGACTTCGAAATGGGAACGCGGAGCGCACACTCAGCAAAGTAAGCTTGTTTTGGACAAGCTGTGAACAGCGTGCGGGTCCGGAGCGGGGATATTTCCGCTGTGACTTGCCAGTGACCCAGGTACTAGCCTCGCTTGGTTAAGCGCCTTTTGACTGGACAGTACAGCAAGCTACAGGCTTGCCCTGAAAATGCTGGGGTCGTCAAGCTGGCTTTTCAGACAACATGTTCAAGTCGGCTTGCCAGATATCCCTAACCATCACAGAGCATGTTGTTAATTGCTTTTTGCACGTACGTGCAAAAATCAATTAACAACATGCTCAGAAGAACTTCATGACAAATCGCTTCGACTCGTGCTGATAGCGCGTCAGGCTGTGCGAGTTGGTCACATTCTTCCAAGTGCTAGAAGTCTGGTCGAATCTCTGCATAGTCGGTTAGACCTGAGGGACTTCAGGCCCTCTGGATCATCATGGGTGATGCTGCGCTTGTGTAAGTTGGAACCTGCAGTCGTTGTGCTGTGATGCTAGACTGCTAGATCCGCCGGTCCAAAGGGTCGTGAAGCTCGGAAGATCTGGTCTGTGCGGGAAAGGAGGCCAAGCCTTCTTCGTCCCTCTCAGGTCTTGCAGCAGCTGGGCCGTCAGCGAGCGCTGAAGCTGCGCAGCTAAGTGCATGCCTCGTTTTCGCGTTTGCGTTTCGTGTCATCCTTTGTACCTTGGAACTTGGATCGGGTTGGACCCTTGGGCAGCTTGAGGCCACCCCATGTTCAGGCTTTTAAGCATGTTTTTCATCTCTCAGGTTGCGCGCGAACTTCAGTGCCTGACAGTTCGTCTCACCCCGCAGTTTCTTTCGGAACCAGCCATCGTCTTCCAAGCTCAAGTCATACTTTACAACCCTGATCCTAAGCTTCAATCCCGATGCAGCTCCCTGTCCACCTTTGAAGTTTCTGAATTCGGCTCGTTATCGTTTCACCTGGCACCTGCCTGGCACCTGCGGCCGAAGCCCGCCATGTGCCCTCTACGTTAACGACGTGACAAAAGGTGGCAGGATTTCCGTGAGCTTTTAGAGTTTCAGCCGTGGCGCCTTAGGCACAGGAAGCATGTCAGATCTCCGTCTTACCTTCAAGAACCCTTACAGAACAGTTCAAGGACCAAGGACGCAGCTGTCCACGTATTGGGGCCCGAAGACCAGTGTGCTGAGCAGCCCGATCCGTGCCATCAAGAGGCTCGAAGAAGCATCCTGAAACGGAGCCTTTGAGGGAAGAAGCACAGACTTCGTGCAGCAATCCGAACTGCTACACTTGTCCTTCTGGGGTGTTGTGAGCTGTGCTTGGAAGATCCCTGATCCTGACCTGGGATGGCCATGCTCGGAATGCGCCTCATCCCCAATGGGAAATCCCAGCTCACGATGGACGAGGCATCTTTGAAGTGAGAGCTCTTTCTTTTCTAGATACTCGTGCTTCTCATCGTGAGGGTTTGGGGATGCTCGAATCTTCGCCAAGATGCTGAGCTGTGGCAGATGTTGTTCGTCAGATTCCTAAACCCAGAACCAGCATGGGTTCAGGTTGACATATGATCACCGGTAGATGCAATTCGTTACCCCTCTACGTCCAAGCCTCCAAGACACGCCGCAGTTCGGTCTCCGGGCATGCAGGTGGATGGCCAAAACACCCCCGTCCTCAACTTGGAGCTCAAGCTGCAACTGCCTGTGTTGAACCTCCTGGAGGTGTCGGGGAAAACCGGCTGGGGTGGAGGGTTTAGGTCTCAAGAAAAGATTTCATCTAATTCGTGCCAAGGAAATCTGCAGCAGTCTTGTGTCTGTGTGATGGGTCCAGATGGCATGAACGGCATGAGTTGCAGGAGTTTTTCGAGTTTCCCGGATGCAGTGACTAAAGTTAGTCACAGGATTCCTCTAGCCTAGGTGTTGGGCCAGAACTTCATCCCGGCTATGCTTGACCCGCAGACGGTGGGTGGCAAGGCAGAGGACGAGCTGTGGCTACAGTGGGGAAATCGACAGATAGACAGGTTGAGGCACCGTGTTGCTGGATGCTTGCTGTGTCGACTTCCCTAAATTTGCGCTGGAGGACGAAAGCACAAAAGGGGCTGAGCAGCCCGATCAGTCCGAGAGCAGACCTGCCTCATCTGACCCAGACAATCTCTCGGACGACAACTCTCCGATCGAAGCAAACCCACTCTGGACTGACGACGACAGCCAGGATGTCGCGAAGATTTGGGAACGTGAGCAGCCGCAGGAACATGCAGACGTGGCTGTGGCTGGCTGGCAGTGTCTGGGGAGAACAGTTTTTTCACGTGTTGTTGCCCTTTTTTGCCCTTTAAGCCTTCATTTTTCACCCAGCTGGGCGGATTCCAAGCAGTTCATTGGCTCGTGGCTACTGCCTGGCTCATTCGGTCTGACTCTCTCTCGCTCTCTCGTCTCTTCCTTTCTTTGCAGCTCAGGCCACTTCCAAGCTCCAAGCATGGAGACTTGGTCAGATTGGCGAAGGCGCGAGGAGCTAAGCACGACTCCGTTGACATGCCAATGGACGGCTCAACGGGCTCGAGTGGTTCAGCAGACGGAAGGCTCTGGCTAGAGGTGGTTGATCAGCTGCAGCAAATGTGCCGGAGCATCGTCTCTTCCCAACGCTTTCATGTCCACTTGTTGCAGTCGCAGAACAATATGACAGCCAAGATGCGCGACTTCACACTCTCCCTTGGAGACCGAATGCAGAACCTCTCCATTAACATGAAATCACAGACAGCCGGCCTGGCACAGCGACTCGAAGCTCTGGCACAAAGCATGTCCTCGTTGGAAACCAGCCACGCGTCTTGGCCTCGAGCTGGCGGCCCTGTGGGAGCAGCGCCCCGTGCGGGGCCAGGGAGGCGATGATCGTTGCGGTCCGTGGACATCCGTGAGTCGAAAGGTTTCAGCCATGTCGTCTCAGACTGGCTGCGGGACAAGAGAGATCCCATTTTCGATATTTTCAAGCCGCACCCACCCCGAAGCCATGTGTCGAGAAAAGAGCTGTCTCGCTGTGTCCGCAGGCGGGGATGGTGATGTTCCCCGGGGTCACTTCAATCAATCTTGAGCTAGATAAAAACTATGCGCACGAGTTCACCAACTCTTTCTTTTGGAAATCGTGCTTCTCCACGTTCCGAAGTTCTGTGGCTATGCTCGGTTCTGCAATGTTCTGTAACGGCAGGCAGCCCTCTCGAAGGCTCCTTAGTGGCTGCCTGACTCGAAGCTTTGAATCGTTGCTTGTGGAGAGTACCCACCTGTGATCACCTGTGGCATGCGAAAAATCACACAACTTCAGATGGCCACGCGTCCCTTCGCAGCAAACTGTTGCAAGGAGGGATCCATTTCTTATCGAGCACAAGGACCCATCATGTCTGTAAGGATCCTAGGGTTGCAGCACAGCTAGCAACGTTCCTGCTAGTTTGAATCTTGCGGTGGGGAGTTGGTGCGCCTGGACGTGGGTACAGTGGGCATGCAGGATCTGGGCAAGCGGCTTCGCTCTGTATGAGGAAAGCAAAAGACGAAATAACAAAACTTCTGTGGCCACTGGCTGGTTTTGTTGACGGTAAAGATGAGCTCGAATTGGTTGCAGAATCGGATCAGCTCGTCTAAGCGACACGATGTGTCCATGTTCATGACGCAGACAAGTCCCAGCTGGTCTGGCTTAAGTGCCGCAGTCGGGGACAGCGGTGGACAAGGCAGCCAGGACAACACGGCGCTACGCTAGACAAATCCGGAGCTCGGGCAGCGTACGCCGCTTGGGAGGTGGGCCCCCGAAGCAGCCACCTGCCTCCGCCTGCTTGTGCGTGCAAGTGGTTGAAGACCCAAAACCCGATGCGGCCTTGACCGTGCTAAGTAAGAGGAAAGCTGGACTGGTTGACATATTGTCTGCCTTGTATTGTGAGTGAGGCACTGGCACACTGAAAGGAAGGGAATGTCTCCATAGGCGAGACACCAAACTTTCATCTCGTGGAGATGTGACCCTGGTTGGTAAAAGGACGAGGAAGGTGAGGAAAACAAGTTTCCGTTACACCTCATGTCGAGCCGAACATTGCGACGGCAGCGTCGTAGACAGAGCCGGAGCTCCATGCACCGCACATCACTGCACCACTACATTGTTCGTTTGCAATTTCAAAAACGCTCATCAAACTATCAAACTGGCAAGCCAGGATGGGAGCTTAAAGTTCGCTCGAAGCTTCCGAGGCACTGTAGCGAGCGGAGGGGGCGGTTCCTCGTTTTGCGAACTGCTGCCTTTGCCTCCGACAGAGACAGCCGGTGCATGGCCAGTGAGACGGCCGCCGAACGCTGATCGGAGAGAAGTCGATCATTGACTGGGCAGGCGGTTAACAGTGAGCGCTTCGGCATCATAGCTTAGTGGTGGCTCCCTGAGCCGCGACCGCGACCACGCGCTGGTGCTTCCCTGCCTCGTGCGCGAAGGCAACACTCAGGGTCCAACCGGCCATACTTGCCAAGTCATTGGGTGCAAACACTCGCTCCACGAAAACCCTGCACCCGAGCTGCGACCGACAACAACATCGACCCCTGGTCCTCCTCCTCCTCCTGCTGCTCCTGCTCCGGCTCCGGCTCCGGCTCCTCCTCCTCTTCCTCTTCCTCTTCCTCTTCCTCTTCCTTCTCCTGCTGCCGCTGCGACAACGACAACAACTGCGACCTGTGGGTACGACTATGCGACGCGACTACACGGGCGGTTCCGCCAACGTCGGTGGCCCCTTCCCTCACCTGAGTGTCGCCGTCACTGATCACGGCTTCGACATGACATTTCGGGCGTGCAGCCGCTTTTTTGCAAAGTGGCACCGGCTATTGGATTGGCATTGGTGATGCGTGGTGTCTGCGGCCACCTGCACGTCCACGTTCATGTAACACGCATGCTTCAAGGCCCCGATAGGCAGCGGAAGGCATACAGTAGCCGGATGATGTGCTCGGATGTCGCGATTTTGGGCCGTAGGTAAGTCCTGTCAAGGCCCGCGCTCCGCCAGGGCCGGCGAGGCCGGCGAGGCTTGCCCCTCACGCACACGCAGGCGACTGGCAAGATCTGAGCCGAAGCATTACCAACGCAAGTTTGATGCAATCGTCCTTGACTGCCATTGTCATAACACGTGAGGCATATGGCATGAGCAAAGGACTTTGCCCAAACAGTGCCACCATGCCGAGAATATTATCAGCAGATATTACGTCAGAGCATGAGAACTTGTTCCGTAATTGCTAAAGCATGCCAGCACCAAGAAATGCACACGAGTTCTGAGGCAAGCTGTTGGCGTAGTATTTTGTGGTTGTTCATGGGCTGGCACCCCAGAAAATTCATCGACCCAACACGACCCCGTGTCGAGGCAACCCGCGATGGCAGGTGCGTGAAAGTGGACAGAGAGCAGCATCGGAGGGAACGGCGGCTAGCCAAACCCCGCATCCGGACCAGCGTCACATCTTCATCATCTGCAAAAATAACAAGGGATCCGCCGTGAGGCTTGCGGCCTGCTTCCGGCACAAAATTGTCCTGTTAATTGGGGCTTTAATGCTGATTCTGGAGCGATCACATTCCGAACATCAGCGTAGCGGAGATAGCCAGTTGTCGCGATCATGATTCGGTGGTTTCGCGACCTCTCGCAAACAGCGTCCGAACTGCGTATTGCAATCTGGCCGATTGTTGCATGACTGGATCGCTCCGATTCGTCAGCATTGATAGAGTCTGACAGAACAGACCTTGAGACGGGAGCAACTGCAAAAGATAATCGAAAGTGGAAACAAGGGTTGTGCCAGCGACTCCCCAAGCGGGAGCCACGAAGCCAGCGCGCCGGTTCCGACCGTCGCGGCCCCGTCGAAGTGGCATGGCGCGCGGCAGGCGACTCATGCGGCTCTCTCCGGGAACTGGAGGGAACGTCGGCCGACCTTTCTTTGGACAGATGAAGGAGCTCATCCACTCGCCTAGCAGGGGAGCAGGCTCTCGAGCAGAAGGCTCTCAACGAGGCCCAGAGCCTCTAGCCCTCGCAGAACAGACTTCCTTGTGGCTGTCAGGGGAGCTTTCGTGCAGGAGATCGAGCTGTCTCTGGTTCTGTCTCGTTTTTCTGATGAAAAGGGAGTTCAGTTCCTCTTTTTTTTGCAACCATTCCATATAGTTCGACCTCTCGAAGAGGAAAGTGCGAACTCGCTGGCAGCAATGCACGACCTTGCAGAAAAAGAAAATTTCTCCAGCGCAAAATCTCCCAGCAGCCGCAAAAGTTCTCTGGTAAGAAAAGCTCTCGAAAGACCGCTGCGGACCGCACCTACCGAGGCTTTCGCTTGCCTGGTGCATCCTGGTGCTAGTCCAAGGCGCTGTTTTCCGCAGTTGGTGGACGAGCTTCGGAATTGGCTCCACGAGATGCGCTCTTAGCTTCGAACGGACCCGTACAACTACTACATCCGCCTCATGGAGGCGGAACGGACTCGCGTGGAGGTGGATCTCTCTGATCCGAAGTTGCTGTCGGTACAGGACACGCCTCTCCAGCTCAGGCTCGCGAAACTCACAGAGCAGCTCGGCTCTCGGAAGAACAGCGAGAAAGCCGAGGACTCGCTCAGAATGCGGCTCGAGAAATGGTGCTTTGCCAGGAACATGAGGCCTCACCTCGTCACGATGCTCACGCCTCTCGCAGAGCTTCGCTGCCATCTCACATAGCAATACATGGCAGTCTTTCGGCAGAGCCCCCTGGTTGGCCGCCCTCAGTGGAAAGAGAACTCTGGGCGCAGCGCATCACAGCGCCGGCCGTACTGGGCTGCGTGGGCTGACGCGTTACCGGAGCTCCAGGAGCGCTCCCCAGCTTTCGCGCATGCCTGCATGCGCCTGCCCTTGTGTGCTGTCCGTTGTGGCCCACCCGGATGCGGAGGAGAAGTGGACGCTTTTGGCGACCACACCCTCGAATGCATTCGCACTGGTCCGATAGCTAGCCTAGCGAAGATCGTGGAGCGCGGCGCGTGCGACTCATGGCTTGCCACTTTAGTGCGGGGCCCAGCTGGCTGTCCCCTTGCTCGCTCCGGCGAGCCGCGGCTCGGCGCTGACTCTCAACCCGGCCTCGCTCTTCAGCTCGCATCACGGCACAAGCGGCTGTCGCGCTTGCCGCGGTGCCGCCTCGTGGTTTTCGCTGTCGAGACAGCAGGCCGCTGGTCGAAGCTTTGCAGCGCTCGTCGCAGTTCCCCCTTCTGGTTGTCGTATTTTTTTCACTCGTCTCTTTCTCTCTCTTGTTTCTTTCTGTCTCTCTCTCTCTCTCTCTTTCCCTTCCTCCCTCCTTTTTTTTTCTCTCTTTCTCTCTGTCTGTCTGTCTGTCTGTCTGTCTGTCTGTCTGTCTGTCTGTCTGTCTGTCTGTCTGTCTGTCTGTCTGTCTCTCTATCTCTCTGTCTCTTTGTCTGTCTGTCTGTCTGTCTG